CCTTCGTCCCTCCCTTCGTCCCCCCCATCCTCCCCCATCTCCCTTTCCCCTTTTCTTTCCCCTCCCTCTTCTCTTTCTTTTTGAGGTAGGGCCTCACTATGTAGTCCAGGCTGGCCCCCAATTCACAGTTCTGCTTCAGCCTCCTGAGTGCTGGGATTACAAACTTGCGCCACCATACTCAGCCTCTTTTCTTAGTGTGTAATAGGGAGAGTTGACCTAGTCAAAGATGCCTTAGAGGAGATGCTTCCTGGAAGAAGTCCTTAGCTGACTCTGAAGGACATTAAAATGTCTGAGAGGGAGGGAAGGGGACAGCACGTGCAGAGCTGCTTGACAGGAAGCAAAAGCCAGTGTGTCTGCTGTGGGCAGCGCTGGGGGTGTGGGGCCATGCAAAACCTGGGCTGTAGTCAGAATAGAAGTGGAGTTCCAGGACTCCACTCAGAGGTTTTCTCTGTCTTCTGAGAACAAGAAGAAGCCGTCAAAGATGCTGCTCATGGAGATGGGTGAGTAGATTAGGGAGGAAATGATCTGATGATCCTTTGGAAATGATAAGTCTGCATTGTGGAAAGTGTATTGGAAGAAAGCCAGCACAGATGTGGGGGAGCTGATTAGATGTTTGCAGTGGTCCAGTGAGAGATTCCGGAAGCGTGGACCAGTGTGATGGCACTAGAGATGACTAGAAGCAGAGGGTTCACCCCCCAGGCCAGAAGGGAATATGGGCAGGAGGTGGGCCGGGTTATCTGGGAATGTGGGAGGAAGGGCTCTGGAAGAGAGCCTTTCCCATCTTAGTGTGCATTGTCTGGTTGAAGTTTGTGACTTGCTCAGACAGGTGACACGGGAAGAGGACACCAATGACAGAGTCAGGGAATCTGCTGTGAGACTTGCCAGTCTGAGGGGAGGTGAGAAGGCAGTGGATGCTGAGTACAGAGTGACCTGGCCCAGAGATCAGAGTGTATGAACTTACTGATGCCCGGGCCCTGAGAGGAGGGCAGGAGGCAAGAGAAAGGCCACTCTGAGGCTGATCTCCTTTTACACCTACCATCATGCTGGCCGACCTTCTCGTCTTGGAGACAGGACTCTGGATAGGATAGGGTCCTTCATCCAACATGTCCTTGCCACTGTCAGCCAGCTGTGTGGTGGCAGATAGGTGTGAGGCAATTTTGGGAACTTTAGTGGTCAGACTCTTTCTTCTCTGACCTGCCCTTTCTCATGAGGTGTGGGCATGGGCCATCCGAGCTACTGAGAGGAGAGAAGAGAGGCTGGGCCGCTCCCAGGACACACACTAGCTACCCATGTCTGGATAGTATCTTTGGAAAATTGGCAATTGGCTTGAACATCAGTAACAGTAACCTAATCACAACTGGTCCAAACTGCTTGCTTTATCCTTGTGGAGGTTTGTACATTTTGTACATTGCTTTAGTTTCCCTTCTTGTGTCTCCTGCACCCTGTCCTGAATTTTGGCCAGTACATTAAAGGGTTGAAGGTGTATGTGGGGTTGAGTTGTTGTAGTTCCCCTAAAAGGAAACAGACTGGAGCCCCGCCATCTGGCCACAATGCTACCTGCCAGCCTGTGTGTTGGTCTGTTTCTTTCTCAGCCTGTCACAGGATTATTTCCATAAAAGATTTGAGCCTGGGGCTCTTGTGGGGTAGAGTTCTTTGTGATAAGCAATACTTATAGCCAGTGAGTCAGGGGGTAGTGGTGGTAGGGATGGTCATGCATAGCTTTGATCCCAGTACTTGGGAGGTTGAGGCAGGAGGAGTAGGAGTTCAAGCTCATCCTCACTACATAGTGAGTTTGAGATCAGCTTGGGCTACACCAGACCCTGTCACAAAAGCAAAACAATGTATTCACTCTAGCTGGAGAAAATCTGGAGTATGGATAACTGATGCCCCCTGGTGGCTGCCTTTGGTTCTACACTTTTGCTCTTGAGTTGTTCACAACTGCTGGAGAGATGGCAAAAAGTATAGATTTCTCCTTGGGGTTTTCTCTGGTCTTTGCTATTTCTGTGGATTTTGTGACTGGCTTCATCTGTCCTTCTCAGCAGCTGATCATTGGTTATCCTGAGCAAAAGTAAGCCCTGTTTGTGAGAGGGGCTGTAACACTGAACTCCCAAACAATCTCTGCATTTCCTGGCAAGTTCATTCTCCTGGGGCTGCTTCTTACAGCCCACCACACAGTACCCACCATCTGAGAAGCCCTTGAGAAATGGGAGACAGAGGCTTTTGTGTGTGCGGCTTGAGAGTAACGCATCTGGGTTTGTGATGTCCATTGGGTGGCACTGTGATCTTATTTTTGTTTCTGTTTTTCTTTTCAGCCAAACTCTTCTCCAGGAAGTGAAAACGTGGTACCTCGAGAGCCACTGGTAAGTACCTGAGACACACAGGATCATTTTCTAATAGTTAAAATCCCATGAGTTTAAAGAAACCTTTTGATCCTGTGGCCATGCCCAACAGCATCCTGTCACTAGCAGGTGTAACCTGGAGGCCTCCTGCCCGTGACCTCTGACTTCTGACTTCTGTTCTAGCAAGAAGGGATTAGTGTGCTCTCTGGTCTTTTCGAGAACATCCAGCTCCTGGCCGTCTTGCACCACTTTGCTTGTTCTCTAATTAGGGTGATGCCTAAGGCCATGGGGTCAGAGTTGGAAGAAGAGGTTGCTAGTTGTCCAACTGGTTGCCTCTGATCATCTGAAATCTGAAAAAGCCACTCTGTCACCTCAGGGTAAGAGTACCTCAGATGCCCTTTCAGGAACAGGTAAGGGAAGGAATTCTGGTTTTGCCTGGTCAGTGATCAAGTTTGTGATCTTAGTCTAGGTTTGTGTCTTAGACTAACTACTAACAGTGGAGAGGCCTAGTGAGCACTAAGGTGCCCTTCTTTTTTCTCCCTTTTGCTTTCTCTTTTCTTTCTTTTTAAACAGGAAGGATCTCATTCTGTAGCCCAGTCTTATCTTTGAACTCATATGTAGCCCAGGCAGTCCTTGAACTCAGAACAGTCTGACTGCCACAGCCTCACAAGTGCTGTGATTATGAGCTGTGCACCCCCCTCTCCTGTGCCCCCAGCTAAGTAACTGGCTTTGCAGTGCTTTTGCTTTGGTGGTCCGAGCCAGAGTCCCTGCCTGCCCTCTCTGTTTTCATTGCTTGGCATTTTGGGACCTGCTCTAAATCCTGTGGACTGGGCAGTAAGGCCAGTTCTGTGCAAACCAGATCTGCTTTAGGGGAGCGCCAGCACTCCGTTCAACTTTGCCAAGCCTTTCCTCCTGGAGTGGTGACAGCCGGCAAGCGTGGGGCACACTGCCCAGGCTTTGTTCTGGCAGCACCTGTAGTCTCACCTGTTTCCTATCTCTTCTCTTACAGAGTGGAAGGAGGGGCTATGAGGCCTTTAGCTGGTATGAGCAGGTCCACACTCTAGTGTGTTCTAAGGCTTTCCTAGGCCGAGGGTGAGGTAGATCTGGCGGGGCTGCAGGTACAACAAGAGGGATGTTTTCGGGGGCATGGTGGTGTTGCTCACATCTCCTGTCAGATGCAGGCTCACATCCCTGAACCTCATAGTCTGCTGTCTCCTTGGTCTTCCTAGGAGGCTTCGTTTGCCAGGTTGGCGAGGCTTAAGTGTGTCCTCTGTGGTCTGCCTCCAAGCCCCTTAGCTGAAGTCCAAATTGAACACAGTAGTTCTTTTCAACTCCTTATTGCCGCAGGCTTTTTTGAAACTTACTGATTCAACTGTCAATGCTCAGAGGTGAGGTCAGACCATCTTGTGGGGCATGACGGGAGAAACTCTTTGGGTCATGCTCGCTGACTTCTCGCCTTGGGAGCCCACTGCCTGTGCTCTCCTAGGAGCCTGTGTGTGGCCCTTTTCCTGCTGCCCCTGTATCTGCCTGTTGGTTGGTTATACTTTTATTTCTTTTCTTTTCTGGGAGGCCCTGAGCAGTCTTCAAACCCTGGTAGCCTGTGATCGTCCAGAGTTCAGGCTCGTTCTCTCCAGGCCAACTCTACAATTACCTTATATTTAATTAATATTTTTTCTCCTCTTTACGTACTTGCTGCATAATTGCTCAGAGGAAAGAAAACACATAGCAGCAATTTATATATATATAAAAAAAACAATAATTAAAAAAAAACCCGAAATAAACTCCCATCTCATTTGGGCTGATCCTATGAGTTGGGTAATTAGGGCCCTATTAAAGGTAGACCCTTTCTCCTCCCTCCCCCCTTTATTAATTTTTTATATTAAACTCCCACAGTCTCTCAGTCATGCCCTTATTGCTTTTGGCTAGCCATTTGCAGCGGCCTGATTAAATGAGGGCACCAACTGAGTTGTATGGTCTTGTGTGAACAACGCCTTCCTCTTGGGAGTGGCAGCAGAAGGGTGTCAGACAGAGGAGCCCATGGAGGGCTAGCTTGTGGAGCAGGCCGGGGGCACAGGTTGAGTAGGAAGAGAGCCCTTGACTGCTGTGGACTGACAGCTGGCTAGAGAACCACCCCAGGGTGCTGGGGGAGCGATAGGGCAGCACCTCAAACCCACAGCTCAATGCATGGGGCTGCAGTTGAAAGCACACAGTGCTTAGCCCCTTTGTCAGGGAAGGAGGCTGTCCCTGGGTGCTTAGCTGGAGCACTGGAGAACAGACAATTGCAGAATCAAACAAGCCTTGTTCTTAAGTAATTCGCATGTTTTATTTGGGGAAGAAAAAGCATTTGTACACATGAAACAATTAGCAAGAAGGGAAGGCTGTGTATAATTTTAGGAAGCAGCATAAAATTGTGTATAATTTGGTGCAGAGTTGCCTGGCTGGGAGTCTGGAAGGGCCCTTGTTATTCAAAGGAGGAGGAAGGATGTGGGTGGGAACATAGGGATCCTTTCTGAGATATTTCAAGCTAGGTCTGGAGGAATAGGAGATGCCCTAATGCTAGGGGACACCCTGGTAAGATTGATTGATTGATTGATTGATTGATTTAATCTTTTTGAGACAGGGTCTCCCTGTAGCCCCAGCTGTCCTGGAACTCACTGTGTAGACCAGGAACTCATAGAGATGCCTTCCTCTTGGGAGTGGCAGCAGAAGGGTGTCAGACAGAGGAGCCCATGGAGGGCTAGCTTGTGGAGCAGGCCGGGGGCACAGGTTGAGTAGGAAGAGAGCCCTTGACTGCTGTGGACTGACAGCTGGCTAGAGAACCACCCCAGGGTGCTGGGGGAGCGATAGGGCAGCACCTCAAACCCACAGCTCAATGCATGGGGCTGCAGTTGAAAGCACACAGTGCTTAGCCCCTTTGTCAGGGAAGGAGGCTGTCCCTGGGTGCTTAGCTGGAGCACTGGAGAACAGACAATTGCAGAATCAAACAAGCCTTGTTCTTAAGTAATTCGCATGTTTTATTTGGGGAAGAAAAAGCATTTGTACACATGAAACAATTAGCAAGAAGGGAAGGCTGTGTATAATTTTAGGAAGCAGCATAAAATTGTGTATAATTTGGTGCAGAGTTGCCTGGCTGGGAGTCTGGAAGGGCCCTTGTTATTCAAAGGAGGAGGAAGGATGTGGGTGGGAACATAGGGATCCTTTCTGAGATATTTCAAGCTAGGTCTGGAGGAATAGGAGATGCCCTAATGCTAGGGGACACCCTGGTAAGATTGATTGATTGATTGATTGATTGATTTAATCTTTTTGAGACAGGGTCTCCCTGTAGCCCCAGCTGTCCTGGAACTCACTATGTAGACCAGGCTGGCCTTGAACTCACAGAGATCTGCCTGCCTCTGCCTCCTGAGTGCTGGGATTAAAGGCGTGCGCCACCACGCCTGGCATTATATTTATTTTTAAATGATTGTATATTTCCTACAAAATGTAACAGATGCTGCCTAGACTCTGCACTAGAAGGATTAAGTGCAGGATGCTGAAGGCACGTCATTTTTTCTTCTGGAACGAGATGATCGTTGAGGCTAGGGCTGAGTTCATTTGGCAGAGTGCTTGCCTGGTGTGCACAAAGCCCTAGGTTCTATCCCCTGTAAGAAATAAACCAGGAGTGATGGCACATGCCAGTAATCCCAGCACTTGGGATGTAGAAACAGGAGAGCTAGAAATTCAAGGTCATCTTTGGCTATATTGTGAATTCAGTGCCAGCCTGAGCTATACGAGACCCTGTCATTTTTTTTTTTTTTTTTTTTTTTGAGACAGGGTCTCCCTGTAGCCCCAGCTGTCCTGGAACTTGCTATGCAGACCAGGCTGGCCTTGAACTCACAGAGATCCGCCTGCCTCTGCTTCCTGAGTGCTGAGATTAAGGGCGTGTGCCACCACACCCGGTAAGACCCTGTCTCAAAGAAAGAAAAAACCCCAAACACTAGATGATTATTTTAAAATGAATTTATTATTTATTTAAAACAATTTGTGTGTGTGCGCACAGCGTGGTACACCTGTGGAGGTCAGCTTTGGGGAGTTGGTTCTCTTCTTCCACTGTGGGATCCAGGGATGGAACTCAGGTTGCCAGGCTTATGCGGTGAAGCACTTTTACCTGCTGAGCTGTCTTGCTGGCCGTAGATGATCATTTTGAAGTAATTTTTCTCCTTATTAAAAATATAAGAGAGAGAGAGAGGGGATAGAGAGAGAGACAGAGAGAGAGAGAGAGAGAGAGACTCTCAGAGAGATTGCCACACTGAGTATTTGGGCGTCTATGTCAGCAGTAGTCTCTAACCTACCTTGCTGGGGCAGGGAGGGTTGCTTTCCATTCCTGTCCTCTGTGGGTCATGAAAACTGCCCTGTGATGTAGTGGTGAGAAGTCCAATTGTTTAATTTCTAAATGACACGTTGGTATTTATAGTCAGCCCCTGGCCTTCATTCTAATCAAGTACTGCCCCTGCATGTTGCCTTCCCTGCCCCCTTCAGTCCTAACCCCAGTCCTGTCCCCAGATGAAACCAGCCCAGGTACCTTGACTGTGCTAGGAGGATGGCTCTATAGTATTCTAGTGTTCTGGTGTCCTTAGTGCTGAGTACTGTTGAACCAATCAGCTTTGAGAAGTTCAGAAACTTGATTTGAATTCTCTGTTAATGACGACTTCTTTACTAAAGTTGAAGTTATTAAGGCCCTTTTCCAATTGTACTCTCTTCAGGAACTTTGCCTCCTAAGGGAAGGAATTAATTAATTAATTAATTTATTTATTTATTATTATTTGGTTTTTTTTTTTTGGTCTTTTTGAAACAGGGTCTCCCTGTAGCCCCAGCTGCCCTGGAACTACCTGTGCTCCATCCCCAGAAACACAAAATGAGTGGATACGAGGGGTCACATAGTTCTTGTATTGCTTGGGTACTGAAACTGGGGTTAGGTAACCTTTGGAGACTTCCTTATTCTCAGATTTCTGGATATTTGAGGTGAGCCGTGAATAAGGTCTTGT